GGGGGGGGGGGGGGGGGGGGGGGGGGTTCTGTGCCAGCACCATATTTGTTTTGATAAAATGATGATTGGGAGTCTCTCCAAGCCCCCAGGAGAATCATTGTTGTTCCTCTTGCCCAGGGTCACCATCTGCTCGGTGGTGGTGTGCGATGTTCTCTATGCCATAGAGCTAACATCCCCCGTGCAGCAGCCCCACACCTGCGGCTCCGGCCAGGCGGAAGGGGGGGAGAGCATGCGGTCAGCGTGGTCACACAGGACCGGCCCGACACTGACCGAAGCGACGGCGGTGCTGAGCTCTTACCGAGGAGCGTTTCAGCCGACTGACGGTTTATTGCCCGCGGTCGTGTTTAGCATGTGCTTTATGGTGCCATGCCAGCTCGGTCTAAATGAGACCTTCAGAATGACAGGAGGACAAGGTGATATAGATCCACAGCCTGTAATCGAATCATAAAACGCTTAATTAATTTCTAAGTGCTGTAAACAACGTTGGGATGGTGGAGCAGTTTGTCTGGGGAGAAGGAGATTCTCGTCTGGTCACACCCCCTCCCCCGGGGGCTGGGGGCAGCTACGTGGTCACGGTCAGATCTGTAAGGCCCTCAGAGGTTACATCAGGTGCTCAGACATAAATCCATGGTCACAAAGCTCAACCAAAGGCATGCAATGCACTCTACCACGCTATTGGTCAAAATCCAGAGAGTTCACTAGGCCAGAAGGTCATGGGTTCGGACCCAGGGACAACAAGACAATGAAAATGAACAAAGATCTACACAGAAATCCATATTCATAATAAACTTAGAATCCCCAATTGGTTACCCACAGGAGGAGCTTGAAATAAAAGAACAGCACACGTGCGAGAGGGCTTCCACTCCGAGCAGACTGTTCCCCCCGTGTCCTCGCTGTCCCCGTAACAAGCTCAGGAGGAGACGAAGCCTGTAAATGATTGAATTTGGCGAAGGACAAGCCGCACATGGCGCAGAAACAGGGGTCTAGAGCCGTCAATCACGGCGAGCCGTCGCCCCGCAAGGTCAGGGAGCTGCCGGCAACAGGAGAAACAGAATATGACAACAGCCGAGACATCACTGGAGCCACTGGCTGCCAAGCGTCAGGGGGAAGGAGAGCAGCTTCATACTCCATTTGTTCCAGAAAAAATGGTCTAATTATTACCTGCAAGATGACTCATTTCCTAGCCTGTCTGTGCCGATAATCACCCAGGGAGCAGACACTGCTGCGGCTGCATCACTGGGGCTCTGGAGCTCTGCACCCTCCACCCAGGACCTCTACTTGGGATCTCTGGCTCTGGGGATGTATCTTTGCCATGAACCTGTACTTTTGGAGCTGTACCTAGAACTTCCATCGTGGACCTGTAACACTACTTTGGACCTGCGCTCTACCAGTGCTTAGCAAGAATCTCTCGTTTTAACTGAAGGGTTCACACCATAGAACTATGTTGTCAGTTACACAGGCATGTAAGCAAGGTTACGTGAATATCTGCTCACACACAAATGAACATGAAAGTACCACTTGTGTGTGTGTGTGTGTGTCTGTGGGTGCGTGCACGTGTGCGTACGTGTGTGTGTGCACATGTGTGTGTGCACATGTGTGTGAGCGTGTATGTGTGCACGTGTATGTGTGCGTGCATGTGCGTGTGCGCGTATGTGTATGTGTGTGCGTATTTCTGTGAGCACGTTTGTGCATGTATGTGTGCGCTTGTGTGTGTGTGTGCACGTGTATGTGTGCGTGCATGTGCGTGTGCGCGTATGTGTGTGTGTGCGTGTGTGTACGCGTATGTCTGTGAGCGCGTTTGTGCATGTATGTGTGCGCGTGTATGTGTGCATATGTGTGTGTGTGTGTGTGTGTGTGTGTGTGTGCGTCACATCGATCTGCACTCTTGACTAGCATCTCTGGGTGAGAGGCCATCCCATCAGTAAGATGTGATTATATAAGATAGCCACATCGCCCCCTTGCTGTAAAGCAGGCTGACCAGTTAACTCTGCTGGATCGATACGGAGATGAATGCCTCGCCCTCCTGTTAGCACCATGCCGAGCCCCATGGCTCCGGCTACCTCTCTTTCTTTTTATCACATGCTATAGCTCCTGACCAAGCATAGTCGCCCATACTGTTGCTGCCCGAATCTGGACCATGTGGAGATTTTGGTCTTAGACCTTCACAGAGGCACACCAGTCACAGAGAACTTTCCGTTTAAGCTCAGGTCACCCAATGTCTCTGCATTCCACGACGAGAACCGCAAACTTTGAAACACACACGGGGTTCCCAGCAGTCCGTGACCATGAGAGATTAATCATCCGACGTCATCTCATTGACGTCTGGAGGTCGTAGCTGGCAGCGGGCTGGGGGGAGGCATGGAGGTTCCAAAAGGAAGAACGGCCGGCTGTGTTGGGTGTTAAGATGATAAACTCTGCATTGCAGGAGTTGGCACTGTCCAGCGCCCAACCCCAACGCTTTTATTTTATTTTTACAGAGTCTAATACAGGCATAGGTCATGTGACCAGCTAGGTGTAACTGACTAATTGCATAACACTGTATAACACCATATCTGCTAAAATTCAGGAGTGACACACGTGGAGTAATGCTGGATCAGCACCACGCCCCCAGGCGGCACGGTGACTCAGTCCTCATGGCTCCGATTGCGAGTCCATACCTGCAGAAGGTCAGGCGGTCACTCCTCATGCCCAGAAACCACAAAGATCTGGTCCAAGGTGAGATGTTGTGACCATCTGGAGCAGCAGCACACTATCACTGCAAGAAGTTGACCAAATAACCAATCGGCTTGGCGGCATGCGGCTCACTGAGTTACACTGTGTTTCTGAAACTGGAAGGTTGACGGTTCAAAACCCAGGGTCAGCAGAGTGATGTCACCATTGGGTCCCTGAGCAAGGCCCTTAATGGAAATTGCTCCTAGGATTGTCTGACCCTGCAATCTGAAAATACATGTCGCTTTGGATAAGAGCGGCTGCTAGATAAGTAAGTAAATCTGCTGGTGACACGTCAGGGAAAAGGCCCCATCAGTGGGATGGTGCTGGGTGGCATCGGGCCACCAGCCTCGGCCTCTCAGAAGCCGTGCCGGCATGAGGGGGAAGTCAGTCTTCTGAGGCTCGCTTCTTTTTTCCATTCCAGCCTCCTCTTCTCGTCTTATTGGCCCAAATAGCAGTTAATTGTCCTCGCTTCTCGTATCAGTGTGAGAATGAAAGATGTACTGCCCGAATAAACAGGAAAATAGAAGTCATCTTCCAATTTCCTTTATACTTAAAAAATTTATACCGAGATGACATTTTTATTACGCTGTAAATGGATGTAAACGGCAGCATGCGCGGGAGAGTTAGCGCGCGGCCCTCGTCCCGAGGGAAGGACTGCGTTATAGCCGACACGGCGTGTAGATGCACTGCCTGGCCAGCAGACACACTACCGCCAAGCAACAGAATGCGACACGCCGGCATTGTTCTCCAAATGAGACCCTCTCGAGTTCATTCAGGAAATCAGGGCAGTGAGGGGTCAAGCACGACCCGCCCCCCCAGTCTGTCACCATGGGAGGTTCAGGGCCAGTTTAGGAGTTCATCAATTCCATCACATCAAATTAGCTGTTATCACGGGCCATGCTGGGGGGGGGGGGTGCTACATTTATCTCAAGGTGCTAATGGACTCTCCCCTGACCCCCCTCCCCCTCCGATTCCCACTAAACTGATTTGTTGACAGCTAAAGAGCACCATCAGTAATTATCAGGTCTTTCTGGTAAATCACCCACAGCATTTGATTCAAGTCAGAGCCAAAGACTGACTGCCCTTTTGCCCTCTGCTCTCCTTACTCATAACCAAAAGGTACAAGCGCACACACCACTCCTACTGGGTGAACTAGAAGCCATGCACACTCTCTTAACCATAGTGGCGATATCTCAAAGGGCTCAACCAATCCACATGCTGCTCAGTCTCGACATCATCAACACCTCACCCCCTTTATGTTCACTTTTGATCGACAGCCACCTAGGAGGTGGGGCTTCCAGGAAGTGATGACCTATCAGGGAGTAGGAGTGTGTATAAACACAGACACGCTGAAGCCTGCAGGCACCTCTACGTCCTCTGTGTCAGCTGCTGTAATGGGCCATCGTCCCCAGCGAAGGGATTCTGGTAAGCAAAGCAGACATGATGAATACACAGTCTTCAGGCCAAAATCCAGGACGTGCCGCACCAGGTACCGCACAATCAAGTCCAGAGCCAACAGGGCAATTAGGAGGGTCCGCTGTGCTCATCCAAGTGACACAGAGCCAGCGACGCGGCCTCATCGGAATCCTGCTCCTACGAGAGCGCCGCATATTATTCCTGCAGCGTGATGTGCAATGAAAGCCGTTAGACATCATTCTGCTGTTATGATTCTTCCGGGTGCCGTTCATGAAAAATGTAAAGGAGCACATTCTGGAAATGGGACTTTGTCCAATTAAAGTCTGATTAATTCCTGCCAGTCAGCGTCCATGGCAAATAAGTCGATGCAGGCAGACTGCACAACTGGGGAAGGACAGATGGACACCCTGGGTAAGGGAGGAAGGACAGACACCCCGAGTAAGGGAGGAAGGACAGATACCCCAGGTAAGGGAGGAAGGACAGACACCCCAGGTAAAAGAGGAAGGACAGACACCCCGGGTAAGAGAGGAAGGAGGGACACCCCGAGTAAGGGAGGAAGAAAAGATACCCCAAGTAAGCGAGGAAGGACAGAAGGACAAGGGAAA